CGTACCCGCCGCCGCCGCGGTCGCCGTACCCGCCGCCGCCGCGGTCGCCGTACCCGCCGCCGCCGCGGTCGCCGTAGCCGCCGCCGCCGCGGTCGCCGTAGCCTTGGCGGCCGCCGCCGCCGACGCTCATGTTGCTCATGAGCGCCTCGAGATTGCGTCCGCCGCCGCCGCTCGGCGGCGGTCCGCCGCCACCGCCGCCGCCGCCGCCTAGTGGAGGAGAGCGAGCGCCGCGGTGAGAGGACTAGCGAGGGGTGCGCGGAGCAGGCGCGGGTGGTGGCGTAAGCGAGTGTGGCGCAGGCGGCGCTCGGCAGGCGCCCGGGCCGGGCCCGATGGGAGAGCAGAGGGCCGGGTCGTGTGCAGGCTCGGGCCGCTCGGCGCCTGGTGCGGAACCCTGTTGGTTCCGCAGATGAGGAGGAACATAACCGCCTGCGGTGGTGGCGCGCGGGGCGGGAGCGCGGTGAGGCCGGACCGAGGCGGCGCTGCCGGTCGGGCGAAAAGGCGGCGCGCACCCATACACTGGGTCCGAGAGGACAGGAAAGAGACTTGTCTGAAGTAGACGGAGGATCGCCCACGTCGTTCGCCCAAGTCAGAAAAAGAATGTCGAGGTCCCTCCGAGTGCTTATCAAAAAAAAGGTTCACCAAAAAAGGGTACACAACGGGAACAATATACCTACAACGGGAGCCGCCTAAGCGACCCCTGCGAGGACGGCGAGTCACTTAGGCTCCGAGGACTAGACTGGAATCGCCTCAGAAAAAATTAGTCTTTAAGGGAAAACGCCGCGCCAACGAAGAAGAATTTCGCGCGAGAGCCGCAGGCGAAATACTCGTACACACATGAGCGATGAGACGATCGCGCTCGTGGGCGAGCTGCCCAGAAAATATACGATGCCGTATACTACGAAATGTATGATCAACGGCGTATACAACAGGCGCTCGGAGCTTGTCAATGGCGCGCCGTCCTACGTCAAGGCCAGTGGCGAGAGGTACATGCTGTGGCATGTGAGCGTGTGGGGTTGGTGTGTTGGCTTCGCGAGCGACAAAGGTAAACCACGGGGCTACATCAGGCTCTCATCGGACAAGAAACGGCTCGAGGACGCGATCGGCACTTGGCAGGTCCCCATGAATGACGGTTCCTGGCTTGACGCGCCCGGCCTGCGGCTCCTCCGGCACGTGCCGCCCGCCGACGAGGTGTCCGTGGTGGGCGAGCGGACGCGCGACCAAAAGGACGCCGAGGGCCGCAAGCGCGCCATCGACCTCACGGAGGGAACGATGGAGACGCCGCGCAAGCGGAGCCGCGTCGACGACGTCGAGACGCGCGTGGCCAAGGCGCGGTCGCTGTGCGCTTCGGAGGTGGACGCGCGGGCGCACGAGCTGATGGAGGAGCCTTTTCGGGACTTCCTAGCCAAGAAGATCGGCGGCGCAGAGCTTGAGCGCCGGCGAGAGGCCGCGCGCGAGCAAGCGGAGAAGGAGCACCCGCCGCTCAGCGCCCTCGACAAGGCCTTCGCCGCGTACACTGCGGCGGCGGCCGCGGAGCAGGCGGCGGAGGCGAAACGCGAGGCGGCCGAGGCGACGCTCGAGGCGGCCCTGCACGCGCTGGAGAAGAAAGGCGAGGCGGGGCCATCAGGCGTGAAGGCCGAGGCGTGATCATCTGTCGCCTTTTGGCGCCGACGCGCAGAGCGCGCGGTGCGCGCGCCTCCCTAGACTACGTTTTGTGCATGAAGCGAGTCGTACTCTATGGAGTTGTATCCTGTTGTCTCCATGGGACGGAGGCCCGCCGAGCGAGTGCGAGCCGCATCGGCGGCCATGTCTCCCGCCGCCGCGAGCGAGTGGCGCAAAGAGGCAGCGTCGCGCATGCTTTCCGAAACGTTTACTCGTCTTGCAAACTCATTCCATGAGCAAGTACGGCTATCTCCTATCTCTAAATCTATCGCCGGCACGGTACGTCTCGAGAGATATTGTGAGAGGTGTAACGTGTGTATATAGAGCCCGCGGCCCGCGCGCACGAGGGGTACGTCCGCTCTGCGAGCCCCCCTCCCCCCCAGCCCCAGCCACCTTCCCCGGTCCCAGCCCGCCCAGGCCCGGCCCGGCACAGCCGGGTACCCAGCCGCACAGCACAGCCGCTGGCGCCGCGCTGCGAGCTGCCCGAACCAGCTGTGCAGCTCTCACCTCTCCCTCGAGCGCTGCTCACCGCGCAGCGGAGGCCGGAGCCTGCGCCGCCGCCGCCCTGCGCCCACACCGAGGAGTCATCAGAGCAGGTCCACCCTGTCCCTGTCCCCGCCGCCGCCCCAGGGGGTGCTCTCCACCGACAAACAGTCGAAGATACCGAAGCAATCCCGCACGCATGCCCTCCAAAAGGACCCCCTCAACACCCCCACCTCGAACCCATACATCGCACCAAACTGGACACCAGTGACGCGGGTACGGCGGCCCGGGGTCAAGGGCCGCGCGGGAGGAGGAGGCACGCTTACCCATCACCAGGGCCACCCCGGGGGTTCACCAGGGGGTAGAGGCGGAAGCGGCGAGTGAAGCCCCTTCCCGCCGAGGGCCCGCACCCAAGGGCGCAGAGGCGGAGGCGGCATGGGAAGCTGCCGCGAGCCGCCTTGCCCCCTCGGGCGTCAGCGGCGCGCTTGTGCCCCCGCAGGTGTCTTTCGCGGGGGACCGAGCCAAGCGCCAGAAAGTGGAGACTTCCGGGAACCTTCTCTTATCAGAGACCTCGGGAGGACAGCATGGCTTCACAGTGTACGCTGACGGCCCGCACCGGCAGGGAGGCGGCGCTGACCGCCTCCCCCGCCTGGAGATTGTGCAGCGACGATTTCAAGAAAACTGCTAAGTTCCCGCCCTTTTGTAACGCCCCGTTCCTTGTTGTCGTTGACGAACTGCAATCACCGCGCGGCTCGCAGTTGCCCCCTGCCCCCGGCGGCTTCCCCTCCCCCTGCGATGATCGAACCGCTCGCCGAGCCGCCGCCACGCCGCCGCCGCGCGCGGATTGCTTTCGTGTGCTGCGCAGGCGTCCTCGCCTTGCACGTTGCCGTTGCCGTCACTGTTGGCCCTGCTGGGCCTCCGCCAGCTCCGAAGCTGGATAGCTTTGGGGTTGCTTTTGAGGTGATTCTGCTAGCCACTACACACTATAGCACGCGAACTTGCAGCTCGCTCGCCGGTGGCACGATCTGGGCGTGGAACGTGCACACGTCTGACCTGCACCTCACCACACTCGCTACGGCTCCCACGATCTGCAAACTCAGGCCCCCTGGCCCCCAATAGAATCACATTCGCACCCTCCGCGCGCCGTTGACTCCCACTCGGCCGCAGGAGCGGGGCGGGAAGCTCGTCTGGAGCCACGAAGGGTACAACGAGGTTGTGGAGGCACCGGAATCGCACGGCCAGCCGGGTGACACAGACACTTCCAAGCTGTAGTGAGGAGAGGACCCCCACGGCTCTCTCCTCATCCACTGCTCCCCCCTCATGCCTGCAGCCGGCCCGCTGCTCACCGAGATGCTGTGGGGCTACACTACCACCTGCGACAAAAAGAACAGGCAGTGGGACGACGTGTATTGCGAAAACGGCGCTCTACTTCCAGACGGCGCGTCGATGGGTTACCAGAAGAACTCCTTCCTCTACAAGGCCAAAATGAGCGACAAGGGCTGCGACTGGACCAGCGGCCTACGCGAGCCCTGCTTTGAGTGTTGCCGAGGCCACAGGCACGACGTGCTAGCGGTGCCGCAGGAGAAATTCTCCGACTATGTCTACGAGCCGATCTACATCGAGCTTTTTTTCAAGCCGGTGGTGATCCCGACGCTTGACCTCTTCTATGACGTCTACATTGTCATCATGCCGCGCGCCTTCGTCTGCACGCTGACCTTCAGTATCTGGTGCCCCGCGCCCACGCACGACGATTATCGCAGCTGGTTGTTCAAGTCTGGCGGGGACGATGAGGCGTAGGGCCGTAGCCAGAAACTACCGCGCGGGCGAGGATTCTCCGTGCTCCGAGGCACACGCACAGCCCAGTACAGCCCAGTGATGACAGTGAAACTGTGAGTCATTCGGCAGTGTCTTCGCACACAACAATTATTTCATATTATTTTGAGAGAGCTGAGAGGCCGCCGGCGCGGCGCGCGCGCGCGCGCGCGCCGCGCGCGCGCTCCCTCCCCAGTGCTCAAACTTTACCGGTATGAGACCGGTATTTTGGTGATATTTTGATTAGTTTTTTGAGTGGTATGGTATAGTGGTATGCGAAAGTGGTATGCGGGGTGAAGATTAGTTTTAGCGGACAGGATCGATGCCGTCGCCGGACGCGGCGGCGAGCGAGCCGCACACGGGCGCCGGCGTGGCGCGTCGGCACACCCTGCACTGCGCAGCAAGGAGACGAAGGCGAAGCGGCGGAAGCGAAAGCGCGAATGAAGACCACGTGTGGCGCGAGATCTGGCCGGCGATGCCGAGCGACGCGAGGCAATACTTTAACGCAACATGCGACATGCAATACCCCCCACAGTGGTGTGAGCAACCATACAAGTACTTCTATAGCAGAGATGCACCCAAGCCTTGGCGGGCGAGGGACGTAAGAATCAAAGCCTCGAGATAGGGAGATGTGTTGTTGTCGAGATAGTGCCAAACCCACGCCGTGCGTCTCGCGCCCCGAGCGAGAGCGAAAGCGCCGCGGCGTGCTCAACCGCGGCCTACGGACGGAAAATCCACTCATCACATCCTCAGCGCGAGGAGGCCTGCCCGCCCCGGCAGCAGCGTGCGCCTGCAGCAGCGTGCGGCGAGCCGTGTGGGCGGGTGCGAGGGCGCGCGTGCTTCGGGGTCGTCGCATTCTGCGACGCGCTTAGGCGCTGGCGTTGGCCCGCATTCCTGTGGGGCACGCCCGCCGGCGCCGCGGGCATCCCGAACCCGCTCACCGCGAGGAGTAGCAGCGCCGCGACGGCGGCCGCCTGGACGAGCCGCGCCGGAGATCTCTTCGCGGCCGAGGCGGCGCCCTCCTCGCCTGCAGCCTCGAGCTCGCTGCGGGCGCTGGCGTACCACACGCCGCCCGAGAGGGCGACCACGCAGCCGAGCACAGCCTGCCACGAGCGCGACTCACCGAGGACAAAGATGCCGAAGGCGACGACGGCAAACTTGTTGCTGTTTGCGAGCACCATCAGCGTGGAGGCGGAGACGAACTTTTGGAGGTGGATGGCGGCGTAGCTGATGGCGACGCCGTTGATGCAGCTGAGGAGGAGCAGCGCCCACTGCCTCGCGTCAAAGGCTGCGATCTCGTGCACGTGACCAAGCTCGCCGAAGCGCGTCGGCGAGAGGGCAAGCGGGACGAGCAGCAGTGCGCCCACGCCGTTGTTGATCATCATCATGCCCTGCCCGGGCGAGATGGAGTCAGCGGTGAACGAGCCTAACCTCTACCTCCACCCGTATCCCTCACCTGCTTGGAGACGTCGATCGGGTCGAGTGCGATGAGGGTGCGCTGGACGAGGCGCTCGAGCACGGCGGCGCACAGGTTGATGCCCATGAAGAGGAAGCCGAGAGGCGACGAGTGCAGGTCGTTCCGTGCGTAGAGGATCACGCCGGCGAGAGAGAGGGCCATCGCGAGCATTGTTTGCAGGTCGATCTTTAGCGAGCGGTCAATAAACGCCTCGGAGAGAAGAGCAGGCACGGGTGCAAGGTTTCGCACGACGATAAACGCGCCCATGGTGGCGTGATCAAGCGCGAGCATCGACGTCGAGAGCATCAAGGCAAAGAGGGGCGGCACGGCGCGGGTCCAGCGCCACACGTCTCGTGCCGACCCAAAGCGAATCGCCCTGCGCATGCCCGGCACGACGACGATCGTCACGACGGTGAAGAGCATCTGGATGATGACGATGGTGATGGGCAGGTGGGAGCCTCGCATCACGAGCTTATTGACGATCATCATTCCCGCGCTCGCCGCCATGAAGGCCACGACTGCGGAGAGGACCTCGAACCGACGAACCATCGAGGCGGGCAGAGCGGCGACGGTCGAGGCGCTCTCCTCTCCGCCCTTCTCGCCCTTCTCGGGGACGAGCCTCTCCATCGCGTTGGCGTCGGCGGGCAACCGATAAAGAATTTAAATCGCACTCTCTCACGACAACACCGATAAACCGGAGAACTAGGAGAGCGCAACCAGTAGGAGGCCCGCGCTTGCCCCCGTGCCGCCGGGTGCAACCTGTCCTATACGAGAGATGGGATTCCTGTCGTGAGGGTGAACCCCCTGCCCAGCCCCCCTCCGTGTCGCGATGCGCTCCCTGCGATCTTTGTGCAGGGTTCTTTGTGGGTGTGGTCGGCGACTAGCCGGGGTCGTCCTCCCGATGGGGGACTAGCACTAGCCGTCTTCCACATGGTCCCTCGGGTCCCTGCTGCTCCTAATCTCTTCGTACATCCTCCTGCTGATCTCCGCAAAGTCCTGCTCCCTCCCTCGTCTCACCCTGCGCGTCTGCTCCGCCTCACCGTCTTCTGCCCTGCGTCGTCTGGCGACGGGTCCTCCATAGTCGGTCGAAGTCGCCGCCCTCCTCGTGCCTCTTCCCAACGTTCCCTCGGCGGCCGATGCCGTCTGCTCCGGCTCCCCAGTCCCCGGGTCTGCCCTGCTCTCGTCTGCGCTAGTTTCTGCTTCGTCCTCACCGGCGTCTCTCCTCTTCCCTCTCCCCTTCTTGTATGCTTTGCACATCGCGTCGATTCCTGTTCGCGTGAGCACCAGCCTGAAGCCCGCTAAGAGAGATATGTGTGTTGGCACCTCGTGATTTGAGAAGGGCGAAAGGGCTCTGTCTCTGTGTATCTGCGTCGCCACGTATCCGAGGCTGGCAAGAAAGGCGAATCCGCGCCGCTGGGGGGGGGGGTTTTTTCTTCCCCTCTTTTTCTCCTCTCCCACTTTTTTCTTCTTCCTTCCCCCCCCGCTTTTTATTTTTTTTCTACCTCTTCCCTCCCTCTTTTCTCTATTCTTCCTCTTTTATTTTCCTCCTTCCTCCCTTTCCATTTTTCCCTTTTTTTCCCTTTCTCTTCCTTCCCCCTTTTTTTCCTTCTCTTCTTTCTCCCTTTTTTTTTTTTTTTCAACGCCCCCTCCCCCCCTTTTTATCTTTCCTTTTCCCTTTCCTTCTTTTATCTTTTTTCCCCCTTTTTTTTCTCCCTCCCTATTTTTTTTTTTCCTTTTA